TAGTTCAGAGGTATAGAGTATAAATAGAAGAAAGCCAAGGATAGAACTCTAAGGTACCCCGAAAGTAAGAGTAGAGGAGTTAGAAGTAGAATTAAGTAGAACGACAGAAAAAACCCCATTACAGAAATAAAAATAACAAGATATACAAGAATTAATGGAATTTAAATTAAATTAATTGAAATTAACTAAGAATTAATAGAAATTAAAAATTAAAAACAATTCAATTACATTTTCTAAATTCTGAAAAAAATTTTAGTATTAATTTGTCACGAATTATGAAAAATTATTCAGTCAACAAGCAATTTTAGTCTCTAAGAACAATTGTCTACTGCACCTAGATGAGAATGACAATTTCGGAGAATAATGGTTAAAGCAAAACANAAAATGTTTATTAATAAACTTCTTTAGTNGTAATATAAATATCATAACAGTATAATGAAATAACTTACAGAATTTTCAAGACAAAGATTTTTTTAGTTCTTGTTAAATAATTACAGAAGAATTGTTGTGAATCGTTTTTCAAGTTTAGATGCAGAATATATTTGAATGGGATGCTAATTTTTTTTAACAAACGAAAATCTAAAACTTTTGATATAGAATAATAAATATAAAATATTTCTACTCTATATATAGAAAAGTTAAGTTTATTTCAATAGAAATATTAACTAAAAATAAAATTTGAGTTTTTTTTTGAATAGTCAAAATTAAAATAATAATTAAAACTCACTCACTATGTGTGCTTGTCAAATTCTTAAAAAAAGTTCTTAAAAAACAGCGTATATTTTGCTTGATAATTTGAACATAAGATGGACGGAGATATCCTAAAAATAATTACACAAATTTTTATACATATTATATAAGTGAAAAATTGAAATTGAAGTGTTTTAGTTAGCGGACGTTTTGAAAATGAAGAAATAAAAATGATAAAAAGTTATAAACTGAATTGTTGGATGGATGGTTCGGAGGCTCTCGCGTGACTTCATAATTGCATAGAAGCGTGAGTGTTGGAAATTGAAGGAGGTATCCATCAAATTATTATCAAATTATTGTTATATTATTTTTGATTGAAACTAAAATAATTTTTTTATTAATCATTTGTTCGCATAACCAATTTATTATCACCGTCACATTTATTAAACTAGTGAACGGTTATTCAAACTTAGACTGAGTTTTGAATACGCAGGAAAGAAAAACGAAAAACCTTTCGGATTTCGCCTACACTACACTAGAACGACCAAAACGAAATTTCATCTTTGATAATAACACAAAGGTATTTCCATTCTATTATATTTGAGTATGTCGGTTTGAAACATTTTCAAAAGTGTACAACAACTGAGAAGTAGTGCTTATATGATCAATGAAAATGTTATCAAATATTAAAACAATTATTTTTTATCGTTATGTCTATAAATAAGCATAAGTTTGGGCGACTCTATGGAGGTTAAACCTCCATAGAGTCTTACTATCATTTCACTACTAAAACTTAACACGTGATAATTAATTATCTATTGTTGATAAACTTTCATATAATAACTGATCATATAATGAAGGATATTCACAATTATTCTTCAAATACATGGTTTACTTTGCTTAATGTTTTAGACTTCAAAGTAGTTTTTTATAAAATGTTTTTGGCATTTGTGCACAAATTTATGCAAGCTTGTTAACAGATTAATAATGATTAGCCTGTGTTTGTGGAACATTTTGTTGCCTAGGTAGATTTTTTTTCGTTTAATCGCAAATAATATTAAATTTGTATCAGAATGATACTTTTAAACATGAATATACTTTAAACTTATACATCCAGAAAAGTCTAACAGATAGTAAGTACAGATAGTAATATATAGTAAGCTTACCAACAAGAAGACTTAAAATTAAATTAAGCTGACTGATATTTTTAGCTGTTAAAATTGAAACTATTTATTTGGAACTTAAAAGATTGAATGTTAATGAGAAAATTTATTAGGTATGAAAATGAGAATTTGTTTATTCGAAATAATATTAAAAGTAAATAAAAAAAATTGGCGAAACAAAAACTTTTTTGAAATGAATTTCCTCTACTCCGTTGTGAGGTTCCTTTTTAAACCCTCTGGGAGTTGGCGTGCAATGAGACTAGGTAATAGTTTTCAGGGAGAAGGAGAAAAAGGTAAGAATATGGTAGAAACAATTGTTTTCATATTACGTTTGAAATGATGAAATAATTATTTCTATTTATCAAATGAGTTTATTGAAATTTGTTTCAGGGGTTTTATTTCATAATTCTTGTCACATCTACAAAATTTTGATGTAAATTCTTAAAGAAAAATTTCAATCTTTTTAAAAAAAGCTTGCATTCTCTAAATGATGAAATTATAAAAACATATAACGAACTCTAACTTTAGTTATGATGTCCAAGACATTGTCTTTTTATTCTTGAAGTAAAAAACCACATTACTATGGAAAAATAAGTTAAGATATAAAAAATTTAGGAACTGTTAAAAAAGTTATCTACTTTTAAAAATTTCAAACATAAGAAGGAATTTTTAATTGAAAGGAAACAAATTAAATAAAACAATTCTCGTTGGAAGAACTAGTCTATGGTTTATTTGTTCAAAGATTTTCAAGATTAAAGAGATTTAATTTCACAAAATGTAGATGTTTGGTTTTGTGTTTGCTGGTGCGTTTGAGCGTTGGACCTTGTGCAAGGATCTTTGTGCCTGTGTTGTGTTTGTTTGTTTGAATGCTTGTGTGTGTGTCTGTATGTGTGTTTGTATGTTCCTTTGTTTGAATGTTTGTACACTTGTGGTGTGTGTATATAAATTTAGGTACGTGTGTTTTTGTTTGTTTATGTTTATCTTTAGGTGATTGTGTGTAGTTTTTGGCCTTTTATTATTATTTGCAATTTTTCTAAAGTATCTATTTTTGTTCTTAACATTACTTAGTGGCTAACCAGCCATGAATGTAAACATGTATGTAAGTCTAGGAAAGATCCTAGGAAAGATCAAATGTTCAAAAGTGAAAAAAAACAATAAAGAGAACATTAGCTTTAATTTGTTTTAGTTAAGAATTGAAAAATGCATGAAGAGAAAACTCTGAGATTTCGTAATTAAAATAAATTGCTCTAGATACAGAAACGTAAAATTTTTTTTTGAAAATATTGTTTATTCAACAAATACAAAACACGTTCGCACGAAACCTTCAATAGAACCCCTCAAACCTTTAAACCCTTGCAAATATTCAAAACAGAACCAAACGAAAAGCTCTTGAATAATTTACTAGCAAAGAACCGCGGGCAACATGTCAAGTCGTGGTTAGATTATGATGAGATAATAGAGACGAGGTACTGAAAGAGAAATAAATTTGCAGCAGAGCAGATGGCCACTGACGAGCAGTGGGATGAACAGACGACATTCTTCACGAGCTCACGTGACTTTCTACGATGTGGTGATGTATATCTTCTGTGTGCGTGAGCCCGCATATGAAACTTCCATTCCGGGCTGTCTTCATCACTCTATTCCAATAACAACCACTTACATTATAATTTATTTGTTTATTGTGAGAAGTTTTAATCAAATAAAAATTTTATTAGAATGTTTATAATAATGATCTGAACTTGTTTAATTATTCAATTATGATATAAGTGAGTTGATGGCTGAAAATCTCGACAACCATTCGACATTCGGGTTGGTGACTGCAGCATGCTATTAACGATTCTACGTATGTTCATCTCTATCTATAACGTGTTGAAGTTAGCTTAGGTTGAACATTATTCAGCTAAATTTTTCAACCTTTCAATATACATTAAACGATTTTTTTTTAATTTTATAAATTTATTTCAACAAGCAATGAAAAAACAAAATAATTAATAGCAGAAAATGTAGGAGAATTTATATAACGTTCATTAGGGGCCGTTCGAATATTACGTAACGCTCCGGGGGGGGAGGGGGGGTCTAAGATTTTGTTACGGAGTGTTACGGGGGGGGAGGGGGGGTTCAAAAATTGTTACGTAACACAGAAAAAAATGTTGTTTTTTATATTTTTCATTATTAATAAATTTAATTTTCCATTCTAAAACACAAATGTTAGTGTAGTTTTTATAGAATCTATGTTAATAAATGGTTAATGATCATATTTCTTTAAAATTGTCGTTTTCAACCATGAAACTTAGCAGTTATGAACATTCTGATAAAAAAACACGACGAATACAATGCATTTTCGTGACCGCGTGGTACATACGGAAAAAATTCAAAAAAAATTCTGCTTCTACTCTAAATTCAAAAATATTTTTACATAATGTTAACAAATGGTTAATTATCATATTTCTTTAAAATTGTCATTTTTACTCATGTTTTACTAAGTTTTTAAAAAAATATAAAATACACCATAACCTCGTAGCAAATTGCCTGCTGCAAATGTGACTCACAACAACATAGAAAAAATATTTTTATAATAATACACATTTCTTTTATCGCTTATAACAACCGAAAATTATATAGATAGGCGCATTTTCGAAAAATAAACAAAAATAACAACGACGAAAACGCGAATTTGCGATAGTAATGTTAAATCACTTTCAGGAAAACGCGGTGAAGTTGAGCGCGCGCGCTATCGCATTTTTTAACGTTGTGCGACCTGCTATTATAGATTAAATAATGTTGGATTATATAAAAGTTAGTTTAATTAATATATGGATGAATAAATGATGATTGAATGAAAGAATATAGGAAGAAAAATTTTTCTTGTGACAAGCTAAAAATCAAATTTGATCCAACGAGAGGAGAGTTATAAAAGGTTTAAAAAGTTAACTATAGATTGCATAGTGTAGTTTAACGGTGACCGAAATTTTCAAGTTTGTGTTTCTCTTGCTGACATTTCTTTAAATTTTTAAAGTTCAAGTCGTATTTCTAGATTTAGAGTGAGTACAATTTCTTTAATTATGTTTTAATTATCTGAAATTGTTGTTTTGGAAATGTTATTCTACATGATAATTTTAATTTTACTTTTTAACTGACCATTTTAGCATGGATAAAGATGACATGTTTAAAAAGTTATTTGACGCATTTATAAAAGCTAATCCAAGCGGTCAAAAACAAAAAATTCAGCATGATTGTGTTAGTTTCTGGAATTCAATCAAAACTGCACCTGATTTTGTCCGCTTGTACAACGCAAAGAAAGCTGAACTAGAGGGTACTACTAGGAAGCGATTAATTTCGTCTTTTTTCTTGTCAAAAAACGAGAACATTCCTTCCAATTTAAAATCAAATGACAGCTCTTGTGGAATAATAAATTCTTGTTCTTCAACTTTTTCTGCCGTTCCATCAACTGCAAGCTGTTCAAAGTTAACTGTTTTGAATGACAAATGTCCAGCTCAGAAGCAACTCACGGAAGAACTGAATATTATTAACGCAGATCTAGTAGGCTTAATGGCACGCGACAATATGCTAAGCAGAAAGAAGAAATGGACACTAAGAAGGCGCGTAAACGACAAATTGAAAAGGATATAATTAAAAAAAAAGCTAATCAAGAGCGTCAGAAGAAATTTCGTATTGACAAAAAAGAAATTATGCAAAAAGTTATTGAAAAAAATCCTGAACTTGCTAAGAAATTAAAAACTAAAGAAAGTCCTGGGCGTCCGTCAATAGTGAGTGAACAGCCCGATTTGCTTAAATCGATATTAGACATTGCTGAATTTGGCTGCTAGGCTGACGAACGAAGACGAATGGAAACTTTGAGATGCGTTAAAACTTTAGATGAACTACATAAGGAACTATTGAATATGGGGTTCAAAATATCACGAACAGCTGTGTACTATCATCTCCTTCCAAAAAATTATAATACAATTGATGGCAGAAGACATGTCAGCACAGTTCCAGTGAAATTGATTCGTGCTGATCTCCATCGACAGCATCCAGATACTAAATTTGCTACTGATACTGTTCATCATCTTTGCGAGCTTGCTTCATTTTTTGGTCCGGCAAATACGACAGTCATTAGTCAAGATGACAAATGTCGAGTACCTATTGGCATCACAGCAGCCAAAATGCAAGAACCTATGCTTATGCATATGGAATATCGTGTAAGACTTCCAGATCACGATTGGGTTATCGGCGATCGGCATAAGTTAATACCATCTGTATACGCCGGCCTTGTAATATCTGAAAATGGTTATGGTGCAAAAGAAGCTGTAACATACTCTGGTCCAACTTTCATCTCAATTCGATCAGGAAAACATTCTTCTTCAAATGCAATGAGTCATGCAAGAGACTTCGAGAGATTGATGAAACTTCCTGAATTTGATACTATAACGAAAACAATGGATCAAAATGCAAAGCCAATATTCATCTTTTTTGTTGATGGAGGACCAGATGAGAATCCTAGATATCCACACACTATTCAATCCGCCATCAGACAGTTTAAAAAGTACAATTTAGATGCAATATTTATTGCTACAAATGCGCCAGGTCGCAGCGCATTTAATCAGGTTGAACGTCGAATGGCACCTTTAAGCAGAGAATTATGTGGGGTAATTTTGCCGCATGATTTCTACGGAAGCCACCTTGATATCAATGGTAAAACAATTGATGAGAAGCTAGAAATTTTAAACTTTGAACATGCAGGTGAAACGTAGCAACCATCTCCGGTAATGTTGTAATTGACAACCATCCAGTCATTGCAGAATACGTTTGCCCAGAAAGATCCGAAATCGATTTAATAGATACAGCATGCATTGATGAAAAATGGAAAATGAATCATATTCGTTCTTCACAATACTTTTTGCAAATTTTGAAGTGCCAGGATCGAACATGCTGTACAGAGCCACAAAGCCCATTTTTCAACTTTTTTCCTCAACGTTTTTTGCCAGCACCTTTGCCGCTAGTATACAGTCCTTCTATTTCAATCGCAAAGTCAACTGAAGACGTAGGTAAATTTATGAGCTTATTTCAAAATGAAGCATTTGCTAACCGTACACTCCCTTATGATTTTCACTGCCCATCCGTTAGTACCAACGAGAGTTTGTATAGATTGTGGATTGTATTGTGCTTCACTGGAAATGTTGAAATCTCACCGAAAGTCAATCCACAATCGTATTGTCAATACCAAGAAGAAGCCGAAGAAAATCATAAAAAGCGGAATGAAGAGTTGTTGGTACAGTTAGATGATGATGTTGAATGAATGAATAGGGAAAATGTTGAATGTATTGAAGAAACAGAAGAAGATGAGAATCCTGTAATTAATGAAGTACCAATAATATCTATTCAAACTCATTTGGAAAGTATATGGGAAGAAGATTGTTGATATTTTTTAACAATTTTGATTTTGATTTTTATTTTATAAACAACGCTATATAAATACATTTGATGTATGATTTATTGAAAATAATAGAAATTTGAAATAATTTTGTTTTTTATTACCGAAAAATTAAAAATATTTTTTGTTAGGTAACAGCGGGGTGGGGGTAAGTCGTTTGTTACGGAAGTGTTACGAAGGGGGGGAAGGGGTCAAAAAAGTCGTTTTTTCGTGTTACGTAATACTCGAAAGGCCCCTTAAATGCCATTCAAAAGCGAATACACACAGACATGTATTGTGTGTATATATGTATGTGTGTGAGTGTGATTTTGTGTGGGTGTGTGTATGTAGATGCATGTATGTTTGTGTATGTGTGTGCTTGTATGTATGTTTAAATTTGAAATAGTATTTTTTCATTGCTTTCTCTGCGTTTTTAACATTATTTTATGCGTTATCTTCCGTAAATACATTGATAATTTTGTTATTCTCGAAAGTTCCCACCCAACTACTTGGCTGGTTATTCTCAGACGCACATATTTATTTATATCTTTTGAAGTTTGAGGGTTGTATGGAACGTATAGAAACCATTTTGATTACAATGTTTTTAAATAAATATAATATAAATGTTGGCTGACAATGAATTAATTTATAAATAAACCTTTGCTCAACTAATTGAGAACGAAATGTTAGTTTTAGTATAAAATTCAGTTACAATTTGATTCAATAACATTTGCAGAGCGAAGTTTTTTACCTCAGAAAGAAAAAATCATTTGCAATTAATTTTTTATTATTAACATAAGAATGGTGCATATGCAACACTGGGTTCTAAATATCATAAATATCCATAAATCTACTTGGTTGTCCAACTATTTATGTTGAATATAGTACAGTGTACAATGACTGGTTTATGGTTTCACGTGCTCATTGGATGTACGTATGCTACTTGTATGAACGGGTGCACGCGAAGGTTTTTTATTTATAATTTTTATATCCTATTTTGATTCTGGTTCGATTTTGTTTTGTTTCTCTCTCTGTCTCTCCCTCTCTCTCTCCCTCTCTCTCTCCCTCTCTCTTTCTCTCTCTCTCTCTCTATCTCTCTCTCTATATCTCTTTCTCTGCTGTAACTAAATAACCGTTTTAAGTGTAAACACATTTTTCTCCAGAACATCTTTTTTGTTGATTTAATTTGTTTAAAATTCATGTTTATTTTATTCTATTTATTTGTTCTTTTCTGAAATTTTTGAAATCTTCACTGAAAATATTTTCAGTTGGACCAGTTTGTCTGGCCGCATCACAGACTGTATCCGAGTCTCCAGAGCAAAAAAACATCCATTATTTCCAATGAAACATGCTACAGGATAATTTTACAGATACATGCTACAGATAAATTCTGGCACCATTGCTAATTAACTTTCTGGAGATGTAGCAGTCATCTATCGCTCAAACAAAGACAAAACTGAAAAAAAGATATTTAATTTCTGGTACTGCTTCGAGTGTTGTGCATCCTTTATAGCACGTATTCCTATAAGACGTTTAGATGAACTAACAACGAAAATTTATAATCTGAATTTTTGGAAGAGGACAATATACCTTTAGCCTATTTCAACCTTTATAAAAATGGTTTTAATCTGATATGATGTGCAACCGGTGCATCCGCATCATCAAATGTTTCGAGTTCATTTGCCAGTTTATTTTTTTTGGAGTTATGTTTGAAACATTCCAGCGAGAGATCCAACGATTACATTAATGAAAAACTTTGCCTCTGTCACAATTCGATTTATTTGAAAATTTTTTATTCTCATTAAATATTTTGAAAAATCTAAAATGATGGAAATGGCGGAGATTATGGCACAGTGATGGAGAAGATTATTATAGTTATGAGGGTGCTAATTAAGTCGGAAGAGAATTCATCATCATGATGATGACAAAGATGATGATGACGACGAAGACGACGACGACGACGATGATGATGGTCATGATGATTAGCATTAGTTATGAAAATGATTAAGAAGAAAAGGAAAACCAAAGATAAAGATGCTGATAATGATGATGACGACAATGACCACAACAATGATGATGTTAATAGTAGGAACGTATTCCTTGAAAAAGATGAGTATGAGCTTAATAACGTTAATGACAGAGGAAGCATGAATGTTTGACATTAAATATGTTGACATTAACAAAGTTAATAATGATTGGCAGCGCGATGGCCTAATGGTGAAGGTCGCCTGGCCCCGTTTCACATTGACCAGGTTCAAATATGACAGTGGGATCCCCGCCTATCACATACATTGTGTATGATGCGTCATTCATATGCACTGTTTGTGTGTTGTTGATTATTTTAAAGTTTTGAATGGTGTAACTGAGCTTGAAACTTTAAAAACAATAACGAAGTAATGAATTTCTTGTTAGTATTTTTAGTAAAATTGACAAATAAAAAGTCTAAACGTATTTTATATGGTGAATGAGACGAAATAGTGAAAGAAATAATAAAAACCCAACAATACATTTTTCTAAAATTTATGACAAAAATGTTACTTATGGTAAAAATATTGTTAATTGTAATTTAATTAGATTAATGTGAATGTATGTTTATATTTACGCTGTTGTTGGCATCAATAATTAATTATGACGAGAGTTTAAGCAAAGTATTCTTTAAAACTATAATTTTGAGTTTTGATTTGAAAATTAAATCAAGAAAATGTTTTCAAATGTGCCTATGCATAAACTAGGAAACGAAGTGAAGAAACAAAAAATAATATTTTTTCAAATTTCCAACAGCTAAATTCATTGGAAAATTTTAATATTTAAACGTCCAAATAGTGAAGAAACAACGCAATTAACCGGAGGCTGCTTGCCTCTCAGATTGTTGTTCAAAATGTTATTCTTAATTCGAATTCATATCATTTATTTCATTTGGAAGTATTTTTTTAACCAAAAACGTCCTCATACGATCAACTCAAAGTATCATTCTATCCATTCTTTCTCACTATCTCTCTCTCTCTCTCTCTCTCTCTGACTTGCTTATTTCAGCACAAATGCACAAACGACGTTATGAAAAGAACACAGCTAGCAAACAAGCCAAGCACTTTTCAATTCACCAGGTTGCCAAAAACCACAGAATTCACGTACGCTCACGCTCCGTCTCCATCTGCTTATACACACACCAATGTTATTCTGTATTTAATTATACCGAAATGGAGAGAACAATTTTAACAAATAGAGCATTTTTTGTGTGTGTGCAGACTGACTGGCAGAAGCTGTGGAATGAGTCAAACCAGATCAATTGTTTGAATGTTTGAATATTTTTAATCATCAATAGAAATTCTGACACGTGAGTAAAATGATATAAATGATGGCTGTTAGAAGAAAGAACTGGAGTAATAATTTTATTCCAGCCATAAATTGCCAGCTGGTTGGAGTGACACCACAAATACTTGTTTGTCCAATAAGGTGGACCAGATGTTCAGCTAGTTTATGCTGGGCAGCATCTGTTCCTTGTTCATATTTTATTTATTTTATTTTATTTCGGTTTCGTTTTTTTCTGAACGTAAAATTCCATCTCTCGATTCGAGGCAGAGGAGTATGTTTTTTCAATTGTTTATAAGTGTGTGTGTTTGTGTGTGTGTGTCTGTGTGGTGTGTGTGTATGTATGTGTGGTGTGTGTGTGTGTGTGTGTGTGTGTGTGTGGTAAATAGTTTAATGTCTTAAGTCTGTTTTTGTGTTTTAATTTTATTTATAATTGCCGATATTAAAAAAAACAAGCAGTTGTGTGTGTGTTTGTGTGGTAATGTTTAGAGTTTTGAGTTTTTTTTTGTGTTTTTGATTTTATTTAAAATAGCTGATATTTGTAAAAAACAAGCAGGTTTCGGGGGTAACAATTAACTAGCTTTCAAATTGCATTTTCCACTACTTACAAAATAGAAAACATAGACACACAAAACTTTCACCGACGCAGACGAACACACATACACGTACACACTCAAACGGACACACACACAGACTTACACAAACACAGACGTACACACACACGCACGCATGCACGTTTACGTAGACTTACACGCAAGCACACACGCCACACACAAATGAAGCACACACACACTCCTAATGCACTTCCTAGCCAGGCATAAAAGTCAACAACTTCAAAACAAGTTTGAAATGTGGTAGGGAGGGGGCTGGCAATTACTCTGTCATCAAACATCATTCAAACAAAAATTATTACCGTGAATAACATCGCAAAACGAATAAAAAATTGTCTCATAAAAATTTTCGTTTTTTTTTTAAATTTTTTCACTATAAAATTTGTCCATCGTGTTTAAAGTTTTTCTGATTAGACTTCTGTTTAAAAATGTGGCACGTTTTGAGAATTGTAGTTAGGCAGACATGAAAGTCAATCAAAGTTTATATTTTAAATTATTGCAATAACCATTTCGTGAAAATTATTGTCAAGTTACGACATAAACATTAAATGTGATGTTAAAATATGAACTGTGAGATGCTTTTATTTTTAAAACGTTTGGCCCTGATGTTAGTGATGTTGATAAATATTTTCACCGTTATAACAAACGCTGCCCATAAAATGAAACAACACAAAAGGTTTAAGTATGGAAATAATAAAATTGCCAGTAGCATATGTTGTAAAGCAACTAAATATTCCTAAACTAAATATTCCGACCCGACTCGGGAGGATTTCACTCAAGAATCTGATCTGCTTCAGAATCAATATTTAACTTTTTATTCGGAGAAAAAAAAATCCTTCAAGGAAATGAAACATCTCCAAGACTGTAATCAAAATATGCAAGTCCACATTTTTATGATCCAGAAATAACTCCATAAACTAATCTCCAAACAACCAATCACAGCAACAAACAAACTCAAAACAACTT